CTGCCAGAACCAACACCCCAAGAGCAAGAACCCCCTCCAGCACTGCCGGCACCCCCAGGCCCGCCGGGACAAACCACGCCAGGGGCCGCAGGACGAACACCCTCCTCAACACCAGCACCGCCAGAGGCCAAGAGCGGCAGCGGCGGCTGCGACGGCGGCGGCGGGGGCGGCAGCGACAGCGAAGGCGGAGACACCGGGGAAGGGGGATGCGGCAAGAACAGGCCGGGGGGACAACCTGAGTCAGCAGACTCCTCAACGAGGACAACCGATGGGAGGGGAGTGACATGGGAGACACCAGACTGGGCGGGACAGGACGGGAGCGTGGCCACATGTTAAGCTGGTGAGCGGCGTAGCGAACAGCGAACGGTCATAGAAAATGGTGGGCATCGGCATGAATCATGGAGGTACGAGCAACCTCCATGACTAAGCCGATGCGGCGCTCAGCAACCCCATTTTGCTGTGGCGAGTCCGGCAAGGTGTACGACTGGGTGATGCCCTCCGCAGGACAGAACTGTCCAAGCCGACCAGAGGCGAACTCGCCGCCACGGTCAGAGTGGAGACACAACACGGGGAGACCGCGGTGAAGACGCGCAGCAACAACCCACGGGAGAAGAACGTCGGGCACGTCGGCCTTCCGCTCCAGGGGAAACACCGTGGTGTAGCGCGTGTAGTCGTCGACGAGCTTAAGAAAGTAGCGCTCACCGCGCGGTCCGGGGACGGGGGCTGGGCCCCAAACGTCCATGTGCAGGGTATGAAGGGGAGCAGTAGCAGGGCGAAGCGAGGAGGAGTGAGGGGCACGGCAGAGCCGGCCCTCGACCCAAGGCATGCACGGTGGCGCAGTCGAGGGGGGAAGTGCGGGGAGCGACTCGGGGAGGCCTAAGACAATACCGTGCTGAGACATGTGACGCAGGCGCGGGAGAGCAGGGTGACCTAAGCGGTGGTGCCACAGAAGGGACGGGTGTATGAGGGACCAACACGAGCAAGCTGCTGTGACCTGGGAGGACGCACCAACCGGGGGGGAAGCAGTGTCGAGGGTAAACAGACCGGACACCGCGTCCCGGGGGAATGTCGCAAGGGGGGAACTTGAGACAGCCTCGGTACAGACAGCGAACCGCTCGTGCCCAGGGAACTTAGTGGTGACGCCGAGGTCCTGAAGACGGCCGACACCAACCAGGTTCCTGGAGAACGAGGGAACGTGGAGGCCTGTAAGAGAGCCCGAGGGAACGGCTGGACAGGGAAGGGAAGTGGAGCTGCGAGCGATGACAAGACCCGCGGAGGGGTCAGCGAGAGCGACAACAGTAGGCGCAGCAAGCGGCGTTAGCATGGAGCGGTCGCGGAAGAAACAGGCAGAAGCACTTGAGTCGAGAGTGAAGGACAGCGAGGCAGTAGCGGAGGCCGGGAACGGAGCCGGTGCAGAAACTAGGCTAGGCAAACTAGGCATTCCTACGCCTGACACAACAGGGGAGGCTAAGCTACACAAGGTTGCTACACCTAAACTAGAGTACACAGGGTAATAAGATCCAGCAACACTAGAAGCGTCAGCATACAAGGTATGCAAAGCAGCACCTATCTGATCCATATCTAAATCAAAGATCGGCACGCCCTGGCGAAGCAGGCTGTGCCAGTCAGGGAGGTCCGGGGCCGGGCCAAAGCGGCGATGAAAGAGATCGTCAAGGCGGCGGAAACAGCAGGCGGTCGGGTGCGGGCGGCGGCACAGAGTGCCGCGGAGAGGCTCGGTCTGAAGCTGGTACTGGCAGGTCACACCAACGGGGCTGCCGGTAGACGCCAAGCTGTGCGGGCCGCCACCACGGCCACCACCTACGGAGGTGCCGAGCCAACCCGGGGTGAGGCGAGCCCACGGCTGGGGCTGGGACAGCTGCTGCGGCGACTGCGACTGCTGCGACGGTTGCTGCGGCTGCTCCTGCTGCTGGGGCGACGGCTGCTGCTCCTGACTAGCTGAGGCAATCCCCTCAGTAGAACCATTGTCCTCGGTACCACCACTACTACAACCAGCTCCACCACCACGCCCTCCCTGGCGGCCACGACCGGCGCAGCGCAAGCGCTGCTGTGGGTGTACCGCAGCTGCAGTCTCGGACAGAGGGGTCACAGTGGCGACCACAGCCGAAACGTTAGTAAACGTGCACTGGGAGGGGGCACAGCCGTGAAAGATAGAGACTGCCGGCACACCGCTCGACTGAGCGATAGTGCGCTGGCGAGTCTCGATCTCGGTCACGGCGGTGACAAAGGCTGGCAGGGTGAGATCACCCGGGTGCTGGCTAAGGATGTGGTCGCATGCACTAGCAAGGCGGTCAGGCAGGCGCATGGCGGTAAAGTAGAGGGTCATGTAGAAGGGGGGAGGGAGCGCAGTGAGCTGGGCAGCAGTGCTAGCAGTGCGGTAGCGAGACTCTAGGGCGCGCAGGTGAGTGGTAAGGTCAGCAACAGTAGGGAAGGAAGCAAGGTCTAGGAAAAGCATAGGGAAGAGCAGGCGGCCTGTAGTAGCGGAGGCAGGCGTGGAATAGCAAGCAACAACAGCTTCTAAGTAAGCCTTGGCTGTATCAACTGTAGCAAAACGCGAACGCTCAGACACAGGGAGGGCGTAACTGATAGCGACCTGAGCAACTACATCGCGAGAGTCCCAGACGGCACAGGCAAGTGCAGAAGCAGAGAAAGTCTCAAGCAGAGGTGGGGTCAGCAGGGAGGGGAGCAGGCGCAGGGGGGCGGGGGAGCAAGCCATCAGTATGGAGAACCAAGGAGTGCCCATCCTGGCGCTGTCCTGTGAGTTGACGGCGGAGATCGGACAGCCAGGCGGTGAAGTCAACCGCATGGCCCTCAGCGTCCAGGCGGAGTACGGGGTCAGCCATCGTGCAGGGTCAGCGACACAGGGACACATCGGCACAGCTCCACACGATACAGCGGCATAGGGACACAGCAGCACAACTCCAGGAGGACGCCTGCAGGACGCTCCAGCGCTGGCAAACAGAAGACACGAGGCCGGAGACCCGAGGAACCGTGCCGAGCAGAAGACACGGAGCCGCAGGAGCCGAGCAGGCGTATCGGGGCCGGGCAGGCGCTGGGTGGGGCCGGGCGGGCGGTGTGAGACAGGCGTGCGCAACAGGCTGGGCGGGCGCTAGCAGGGGCCGGGCGGGCACTGTGGAGGGGCTGGGCGGGCGCTAGGAGGGGCTGCCTAGGAGCGGGCGCGAACGGCCGGGGGGCCGGCTAGGAGCAGACGCGACGGCCAGGGGGCCGGCTAGGAGCGGGCGCGAACGGCCAGAGGGCCGGCTAGGGGCGGACGCAACGGCCTGGGGGGCAGCTAGTGGCGGGCGTGACGGCTAGGGGGCCAGCTAGGGGTGGGCGTGACGGCCAGGGGGCCGGCTAGGGGCGGACGCGACGGCCAGGGGGTCGGTTAGGGGCGGACGCGGCGGCCAGGGGGCCAGCTAAGGACGGGCGAGACGGCCAAGGGGCCGGCTATGGGCGGACGCGACGGCCAGGGGGCCGGCTAGGGGCGGACGCGACGGCCAGGGGGCCAGCTAGGGGCGGGCGCGACGGCCAGGGGGCCGGCTAGGGGCGGACGCGACGGCCAGGGGGCCAGCTAAGAGCGGGCGCGACGGCCAGGGGGCCAGCTAAGGGCGGGCGCGACGGCCATGGGGCCGGCTAGGGGCGGACGCGACGGCCAGGGGGCCGGCTAGGGGCGGACGCGACGGCCTGGAGGCCAGTTAGGGGCGGGCGCGACGGCCAGGGGCCCGGCTAGGGGCGGACGCGACGGCCAGGGGGCCGGCTACGAGCGGACGCGACGGCCAGGGGGCCGGCTAGGGGCGGACACGACGGCCAGGGGGCCGGCTAGGGGCGTGCGCGACGGCCAGGGGGCCGGCTAGGGGCGTGCGCGACGGCTAGGGGGCCGGCTAGGGGCGGAAGCGACGGCCATGGGGGCGGCTACGGGTGGACGCGACGGCCAGGGGGCCGGCTAGGTGCGGGCGCGACGGCCAGGGGGGCCGGCTAGGGGCGGACGCGACGGCCAGGGGGCCGGTTAGGGGCGGGCGCGACGGCCAGGGGGTCAGCTAGGGGCGGACGCAACGGCCACGGGTCCGGCTAGGGGCGGACGGGACGGCCAGGGGGGAGGGGGGCCAGCTAGGGACGGGTGACGAGGGCGGCTAGGGCCTAGGGTGGAAGCGTTGGCGGGCGAGAGGAACCGAACCTACTCATGATACCATGCTAGAAAGAGATAATAATTGGATTAGTGTGAGAAACCTGAAAGATGTACCTGTTGGGATTGTACTCACTAAAAGCACACACCTAAGGTAGCCTATAACTTCTACATACAGCACATGTATAAGTTGACAAACACCCGCCAGAATTAATCACCCATGGGTGGTTTGGGCGGACCTGGGTGCTTTATTAAACTGGATACTCATACCACCATCGTTTTTGGCATGAAACCTATACACCATCCCCTGGTTCATTTTCAATGGATTTCTGTAGATTTTGCCTCTTATCAGAGTTTCTCTTATCAGACTCGCGTATCCTGGAATTCCCGTCACGCAGGCGAATGTTGCGAGTCTGATACTATACGAGGCTCATGGGAACACGCTCCTCACAGTCAACACTTTCAGTGCGGGAGAATCCATGTCTGTCGGCCCTGGTTGAGTCGTGAAGGAATCTGCAGCAGATTCCTTCGAGCTTTGGTGCGCTGTGACATTGTGGCGTCCTGGTTGCCACTTACCACCACGATTTGACAAAACGTGACAACCTGTGACGCAGGCAACCTATGACTGCTTGCCTGCAACGTGGCAGGACGATGGTCCTCCTCACCATATACGCGATCACGTGGAAGAATCGTCAAAATTCTACACAAAAAAACTGTCTACAACACAGTTCAATTCCAGTTCATAAATATAAAATTGTCATTCCATAGCCTCCAGGCGTTATACAAAAGTGCCACTAATTACACCCCCACTAAATTTTGCATCAAAATTTAGTGCCACCAGTGGGTGTTTTATCCGGAGGAATACGGTACTCATTCATTACAATGACAAGCAAAAAAAGTAACAAAAACCAAAATCTGGAGCACAATACCGTCCATCCGTTGCCCCAGTGCCCCACCCCTTCGCGCGTAATCTCGAGGTGGCCCCTTTACTGAACACCCGCCCGTTCTATATTTCTCCATGCACACTACTAGGTTAGTCTGTACTGTAGCTATCCACACTAACTGTTCACTGGGTGCAGCATTTCGGCTGCTCGGTGGCTGTATCAACGCAGCATTTCGCGTTCGCTCCTGGGACCCTCCTGCAACACTTCTGCCCGCAGCAAAAATTGTTCGTCGGCCTGCCGAAAAGATTGTATTTCAGGCAGCAGCTTCCCCCAGCCTGCCCAGCGATAGAGCAGCACATGACCTTTCTTGACCGTGGGCAGCACGTGGTGCCACCGCAGCGGTAGCTGAACCTGCCGCAGCACTTGCCGTTGCAGCACTTGCCCTTATTGCAGCACCTGCCGCCGCAACACACGTTGTTCGTCGCATTCCCGTACCTATCGAGGGTCGGGCAGCAGGCGGACGCGACCACGCGAGGGACCACAGCCGTGCGAACCTGGCAGCACAGGGGCTTGAGTGCCGACAGGCAGCAGCGGCTGCCGCAGCAGGTGGTGGTTTGCGGGTTGCAGCAGCGGCCGTTGCAGCAGCGCTGAGAGGGGGAGCAGCACGACGCGAGGCCCAGAGGACCCGGGCAGCGGACGTTCGGCGAGATGCAAACGCCGATGGTCATCGCGAGCTTTCGCCAGTCGTCACGCTGGGGAGGACTCTCCGTCGTCGCCGTTGTCGTCGTAGATGGGTCTTCAGAAAATTCCTGGTGGAAGAAGAGGTTCCGGAGGCTGTCCCCGTTGCCGTCCTCGCCGTGACTCGCGAAGATACCAGCACCGAGGAGATCGGCAGCGTCATCGCCGCCGCCGTCGTCGGCGTGCGTGCAAGAAAGGACGGCGAGCGTGAGAAGGCAGACCACGAACACCGTCGGCAGGGACGGGGAATGATGCGCGGCAAACGCTGCCATCATGATAGCTTGAAGGAGTAGTAGTTCGTGTTTCGACCTAGTTTTGAGAAGAGTGGTGGTGTGATTCCAATTCGCGCGTTCCAGCCAGTCGGGAGAAAGAAGAGTAGCGTCGTGATGTGAGAAAGGTTCTTGCAAGTGAAAGATTTCGCGCTAGCAGAGATTTCGCGTGCTGGAAGAGTGGATCGAGGGCCACCGCAATTTGTACGATTTTCGGATCGGAGCGCCCCGAGCGTTGCGGTGCGAGCAGCTCTGGTGTTGGGCTGGGGAGGTTACCCCATTGGCGAAACGAGTGCTGCTCGGCTTCACCTTCCCTCGAGAATGGATGGAACTGGGAGCGGCTTGATTCAGCCGACACCATGCCGACCGCCAAAAACCTTCTACGAGTCGTTCGCAGTGCCCAAGACCAGTTCGACCACTGTGAGGTGATAGAGCTACGTGAACTAGTATGACCACTGTGGATATGTGTCATCCAGTAACACCTGCTGCACACTATCTGCTGGTGTTCCCATGCATCTCGACAACATCTTCTTGAAGGCTACCCGTAGTCGGCGGGCTTATTTGAAGATCCCTCCCCAGTTGGGAGTTCCGACTCGAGCAGCCACTCTTTTCCCCCACGCTTCCCCGTCCCGAGATTCGTATATTGGCTGTTGCCTTTATGTAGAACCCCGACAAGGCTCCATAATCTTTACGGCAAGAATCCGAAGCCCTAAACTCCACGCAAGCACAAGGTCAGCCGAGCCACACCGAGTCAGTCCAGTACAGCATGCAGACGGTAATTTTTCACCCTTGGCCTCCTTCCCTTCTGGCTGAGCGGAGCCGACCGTCCACCGACTTGTCGCCTTGCTCGCCGCAATCATAGCATTACTGTACTATTCGTGTCGCCACTCGACGGGAGAGACGCTAGTAGCTAGCGGTGGCGGCTGCACCCGCGAGCAACGAGCCGTGATGTTTTGGCGGAACAGTAAAACGGGACCTGGCTCCCTCCTTCCCCCTCACCCGCTGTCGCCGTTATCCACGTGCACGTGACGCGTGCGTTTGGCATGGCACGGCGCGCCACGGCGCGGACAGCTCGCTCGCGAGGGTTGCTATGGGAGGAACTTAGCGTTGAGCATTTGGTACTCCTGTAGTGAAGCGCCGCTGCATAGAGCTATCTCTGGGAAGGAACCTGCTCATTTCTTCTCACGCTCAGCGAAACTGTCTGGCTCGTTCAGTACCATCCTAGGCATGGTATGGAGAAAATCTCGCAAATCCCGGCCCGCGCCGAAACTTGGAATAGAAACGCACGGGTTGAATTCAATCGCGCATCGCCCCGCGCAGGTCGGAATCCGACCTCCAATTACCCACGCTCCGCTTTGTATAAATATTTATGACTAAACAACTTATATAAACGGGTATTGTTACAGTTTCCCTTTCTCTTTCAAAACTCGTAAAATTCGGGCCGTTGCAGTCTACATGCGCCTCGTCAGGCTCAGGGAGCACTCTAGCCGCGCCCATTCCGTCAATTTCGCCACACCGTGCGGGAAATTTTAGATCACGCACTGCGCGCCGAGATTGACATAAAGGAAGCAACTACAAAGCTCCCTGAACCTGACGAGGAAATGACAATTTAACACCCAAATTGATAAGTATCCGACTAAAATATTCCAGAATCTTCGAATCAGAGATTTTCTGTGAAGTCGCCCAATCCTGACACAGTCAGCCACATGGTCGGCGATATATTCGTATTTTTGCGCAGCCGAAAAACATTAACCCATAGGAGCCAAGCATATGACTCGGGGTTGCATCGACCCTAAACTCGAAAAAGGGACCCGAATTTAGGGTTGATGCCATCTCGAATGGCATGTCGGTACCCTTATGGGTTTTATTTATTTGCCTAAAACGTTGCCCAAAATCTCTTTGTCTAGTTTTGCATTAACTATCGAATTGCAGCGCAACAAATTTTCTGTGAGGTTCTTGTCGGGAAGGCACAACTCTACACGTCAATCCGAAACAGTTGACTGCGCATGGACAAGAATCTGCGCATTGACTGTTCATTGGCGCAGAATGTTCCATCTAATAAGTTCGGAATGTTTTTCGATGGTCCCCCATTCGTCCCTCCCCCTTTGTCGTCCCCCCTCCATTCCTCCCCCTTCGCCGTCCCCCCTCCGTTCCCCCCCCTTTGTAGTCCCCCATCCGTCCCACCCCTTTTGTCGTCCCCCTCCGTTCCCCCCCTCTTTATGGTCCCCCATCCGTCCTCCCCCTTTGTCGTCCCCCCTCCGTTCCCCCCCCTTTGTGGTCCCCCATCCGTCCCTCCCCCATTGTCGTCCCCCCTCCGTTCCCCCCCCCCCCTTTTGTGGTCCCCCATCCGTCCCTCCCCCTTTGTCGTCCCCCCTCCGTCCCCCCCCCTTTGTGGTCCCCCATCAGTCCCTCCCCTTTGTCGTCCCCCTCCGTTCCACCCTCTTTGTGGTCCCCATCCGTCCCTCCCCCTTTGTCGTCCCCCTCCGTCCCCCCCCTTTGTGGTCCCCCTCCGTCCCTCCCCCC